GTATTTTTTTAATCATTCCTATTACTCGGACTATTACTGGAGTAGCAGTTGTGTTTAAATGCCACATTCTTTTTTAATTTCGATTCTACCTTATATTTTGAAAATTTGTGAAATTCCTTTACTAAGATCTTTTTATCACATAAGATGACCATTTCTTCTTCTTCCTCTTTTTCTTCTTCTTCTTCTCATTATTATTGGAATATTAGAATTAATATTCATGAAAATAGCGTTCGTAAATAAATCATGATTTTATGCAACATATTTCTATTCGTTAGTTCTCAAAATAAAAAAAGAAAAATAAATAACTTGTAACAAAACTAAAAAATAAATACTTAATCATTGTTTCTGGGACTCACGCCTATCAGGACTAGATTGGAAGAGATGGATATTGAAAGGCTTTCAGAAAATGAAACCGATACTAACAACAAGGGCGATACTAATGAGAATTACAATACAAATATTTATCAATGTCTTTTTTTATTTGAAATTTTCAGAATTGTACTTAAAGAAATTTACAGAGATGCCTTATTACGATAGGAATATTTAATAATAATAATAATAACAATAATAATAATAATAATAGCCAGTCTAATGCCATTATTACCGGAGCGATAAAAGATGTATCCGTTGATAAATGCAAATAGTAACGATACCAATAAAATATATGACAAGTTTAACGTCATCATCATCATTATTATTATTACTACTAATATCATTAGATTACAGTTTCTGTCTTTCCTTTTTTATATTAATAATAATAGTAATAATAATAATAATAATAATGGATTCCTGGAAGCCCATGCCTTAAAGAAATACAAAAAGTTGTTCCCACAAGTACAATTGCAACCTTACGAAGGGCTTTATCTCTGAAAAATATGTGTGTGCGTGTTTTTTTTTTAATTGGTCAGTGGAAAATGTCATGATGCCATTTCTAAACTTAGCTCTCTGGGCGGGACCCAGAAAGAAATGTGTACACACCAGAAATCAGAGGAAATATAATAATAATAATAATAATAATAATAATAATAATTTTAGATTAGATGCCTCGTATGTCCTCAGATTGGGTGACGTGAGTGAGTATATTGATGAGTATATTTGTACCCCAGCTTTACTTTGTGTAGAGTGATGCTCCTTCGCCCAATAATAATAACAATAATCTAACAGTGAGAGTGAAGGAGAATAAGACTGAAAATATCAGAATTTAAAAACTAGAAAACGAAGCAATAAATATCATGCTAGTAGTTTTGGGGCACTCGGAACAAATAAGTTGAAAGAGTGAAGAGATATAGATTATACAGACTACAACACTGCTGAACTCTGTGTAAACACCAAAGGGTCTGTTGGATTTAAGGACACTTGCTGTCATTTGTTCTTCCTAGAAATGACCACACGATGAATGTCTTCACACCGTGAAGACATACATAACACTAATAATGATTGGAGAAATGATCGTCTAAAATGGACATGTGTATCTGATGTCTGATTTTAATCTGTTAATGTTTCAGGAATTCTTTTTTTTCCAGGCGAATTCAGGTTCCATCTCTTGAAACTGAAAAAGATAATTCTCTTGATACATATTGCCAAATAAGTGCTCAATTGCTGCAGCTACATTGTTGTTTGTGATATGTATAACAAACAGACACTTCCTACAGATGTTATTAATGTGATCGGACAGTATTCAGTACGTCGGAATATTAATATAACTCACAAGAAAAGCAATTTATTCTCATGTTTCTTTCAATTTCTTACACATTTTGTGACTGTCAAAACTTCTTGGGAAGCTAAAATGAAACTACCAAGTCTTTTTCATTAAATTTCCAGCGAAATTCTTTATATTTCTTTCAGCCTTTGTTTTATAATAAATAACTGGATCCTTTTTCACAGTTCGTTTTAAATGAAAATAAATAGATATGACGTATTGATTTTCCATAATGAAGTATAAATAGGTAGGTAAAGTGTTTTGTCAGCATACTGAAAAATAATGAAATGACCAGTCGGTCCGTTTAATCCACTTTATTAACAGGCAGATTTTGGTGGCACGATTAAGATTAATATTAAAAATATTTTCTAGAAAAATTATTTTTATTGTGCTGTATAAAACAATAAAATATTTTATTTATCGATAATTATAAGTATTATAAGTATTAACCTGAGAAAATAGAGCAATCTGTTTAGAATCAGGTAAGTTTGAGCAGAAGTTGATTTGGTAAAACTCGCTGCTTTGTTTTTAGCTAAGAACTTATTGGCTAAAAAAGCTGCAGAGATTACCTAAAGTCTTCATCCAAAATATCAAAAACAGTAAATTATTCTAATTAGATTCTGGGAATAATATTTATATGAAGAAAAATATATATTATTTTTCTTGTTATGGTGTTCATTTATCACATGATACCTTTTTAAGAGTAGCCAGTACGGTGCCCAACCATATGTCTGTCGGGAAAGATGCTGCTCTCTACACACCTGTCTTGTAGCTGTCTCTTCATGTTATGTTATGGTGGTTATACATGTTTTTAGGTTTGTGCTGAGTAAATATGCCATAAATACGAATAAAAACCAATCAGAATTTCTAATGTACTAATACCTACAATAATCATTCGGTAAAGACGAATATGCAAACACTAAATGTACAAATGTAGAAAAACTCATGTAAGGGCAAATAGTTACAAGGTAACATATGAATTTATATTTGATGTGCATAACTGTGTATATGTAATCATATTCACAATATCTACTGATACATAAATATCAGTTGATATGATGAAATATCTGTCTCTCAGATACCTACTCATTTATAGACGTGCATGTTTATGTTCTACTGTAAGTTCTTATAAAAATAAAATATTTATAAATGTTTTAGAATTTCTTTCTCGTATTTTACGTTTCATAGTGGAGGTATATATTCTAAGAGCAAAACTTACATAAAGGTAAGAAATAATTGGAAAAATTATGTTCGTAGATAATTATTATTTGATTCTGAAAACACTACGAAATCCCGCAAAGTGTATATGAGAAAGACATTTCAGCATCAATGTCGGAAGTGAAAAGGAAAGGAACTAAGCCACAGCGCTAAGAATATATTTACAACACACAAGGACGATTGAACGAAAGCAAATTCTTATAAAAGAAAATCTATCATGCGTGTTGTTGTGCCTAATTCCATTTTGTGTGTAAAGGTGTGTCTTTCTGTGTTAGCATACGTAATGGGACACACATTTAACAAAGAAAAATACACGTATTTATATTCTATATATTATAGATGAATGATTTTTATACACACATATGTGCATCTTTATAGAGAAGCACACGCGTCCGCACACAGTGAGACACACACACACTACACACACACACACACACACACACACATATATATATATATATATATATATATATATATATATATATATATATATATATAATGTTTAATAAACTAGTCTCAATCCGTTTCTGGTAAAATAAGTTTGATTCTCAGTACTATTTTGGCGCTGTCATAAACGAAGACAGGTGAATCTTTATATATATATATATATATATATATATATATATATATATATATATATATATATATATATATATATATGTGTGTGTGTGTGTGTGTGTGTGTGTGTGTGTGTGTAAAGATATACATATATGTATGAGAAAAATGTGCGTACGAGTGATGTTTTCCTATCGCAAATGCCCACCATATGCCACCGTACTGCATTTCTGCCAACCTAAACATTTCGAAGACAATACCTTTTACACTTCAAAACATAAAATCCCAATTCGAAAATATTTCGCATTCAAATTACAACGGAACGGTATGACGGTATTTTTATAGCTATTATTATATTTATGTAATTGTAATACATACACACACACACACACACACACATACACACACACACACATACACACACACACACACACACACACACATATATATATATATATAGTAACTCGCACGTACACATGATTACAACTGTAAATAAACCATATGCTTACGTTTTCTAGTGAATAGAAAGAAATTCTTTTTTTACATAATCTTTTGGCAAATAAAATAAATATTCAGACTTTTTTCTGTCTACTTTTTATTATCTGTTTGGGATGGTCAGTTTCTGTGAAGCTTTCCTCTCGTACATGTTTATCTAACTCTCTTTCTCTCTCTCTCTCTCTCTCTCTCTCTCTATCTATCTATCTATATATATATATATATATATATATATATATATATATATATATATGTATGTATGTATGTATGTGGATGTGAGCTTGTAATTATTTATATGTTAATGATCCTAAGTATGTAAATAAAACTTTCACTCCAATATAACAGCCTAAAAGATCGATATATTAAAACCTGCATATATAAAAGCCTATGTATAATTATATATAAATATGTACTAGTGTGTGCACGTGAATATGCGTATACTCTTACACCAAATGATTTGAACATATATTCAAATACGCGCAACGACGCTACACATTCATCATATATTAGTGATTTATTGGCCTTGTTAACACATGTGCGTTCCATTAGAAACATTCGCGCCTACGTTTATGCAAAACATGGAACGTATATTCACAACTATTTTTATATTTATTGTCAAGTTTTTGTAAAATGTAAGCGTGGAATTTTGCGAGGTTATCTTCTTTTATCTTCTGTATTTAAGGAAGCCTGCGAAGCTGTTCTCCCAGCCCACGAAAATCTTTTGACTACCTCATTGCTGAAAATATTTGGGACTGATTTTCGTGTGAAAATTCTAAGTCACTTTCACATCTTAAAGATCGCAGCTCCCCTTCAAAACACTCTGGGGATGGACCTGCCTTTAATGTGCGTCATTTGAAGATACGATTGTCCAATGAGTTGAAACAGTGTTTACTTTTTCTATATTTAATCTTTACTTTTTCTATATGTAATGAGGTTATCAAAATGTGGATGCGTGTTTCGGGTGAATTAAGATAGACAGTTATATGCTGACTTTAGACTGAGAATGAGAAAGAATGTAAAATGCAGAACTGACCTCGGGTTCGTTGTAGAGTGGTAGATTACTTTCCCAGGTTTTTTGTCGATGTCGTGGTGAACAGATTCCATTGGCAGCAAACAGAAAGAACAAATAAAGCCAATTCAGAGTCATCATTGCTATTGGAAGAAGTCTCTATCTCAGTTTCAGTCTAAGAGAAAGTGTCACCTAGCTAGTGTGTACACAACTAAAAATACACACCTTATGGACACCACTTTCTCTGTACGCAACCTGAAACTAAAAAAACAACAAAATAAGGGTGGGACAGATTCGATCACGGCGGTAGTTGTTTTTTGGCGTTAGTGTCGTATCTCTGAATATATTGATATCGTTCTAAAACTGCACGCACAAAGTGGCACGAGACAGTGAGAGGGACGAGAGTGGTAGCTGCTTGTGAAAATTCTGCCTTCTTTCCTGGTAGCAATAATAATAACAATAACGCTAGTAGTCGTAGTAATAGTTGCATTGGAAGCTGCCACAGTAGTAGACGTTGCAGAATGGGGAATGTGGGTGGCAGCAAGGAAAGAGTGAAACTCAATCAGTATGGAGGCAGAAATGGTTAAATGAAAGAGAGTAGGAATCGAAAGAAAAAATGGAAGAAAGAAAGACTTGCTTCCTCCTATAGTATTTTAGTCCCTTTCTGAATCTGAGGGAAGAACTTCTCTCCTAAACAAAAGATCGTACATTCTGTGACAAAAATGTTTACGGTGAAAGTAAAATATTCAGCGTGTTGTTTGGAAATTAATGAAGGTTAAAAAAATTAATTCAAAGGTAAAATAAGGTAACTAACGTAAGTGATTAATCAATTTTTACGTTGAGTAGATGCGAAAGGTAGTGGAGACTGTACAAGTTTTATTTGACTAAGATATATCAAGGTATTTTACGGGTATTAATCAGGTTGATTAGAATATTATCCACCTTTTCTTGTATCTTTCTCTTTTCGACTCATGACAGCTCTTTTTTCTCTTTCTACTCGTGGCTGTTCATCCACAATATTTCTATATCTGTCTCATTTTCACTTTCACACTCTTACCGATCTTGGCTCTAACTCTTTCACTCTTTCCACCCCTTTCTCTCTCTCTCTCTCTCTCTCTCTCTATCTATCTATCTATCTCTATTGATTTTATTCTCTTTTCTACTGATTACCTTCCTCGGTTTTCTCTTTGAGTCTCTCTTTTCATACAGCGATTTTATTTGATCCCATTCTCTCATGGTTTACTCCCCCACATTCCTCACCTTTCACTTTTTCTATCTCACTTGGTTTTTCCTATGTATTTTTGAGTTTTCACTATTTTTCTTTTCTCCTGCACAGTTCTCTCTACCCCTCTCTCTAACTATTTATCTATTTTTTAATCTCTTTCACTTTCTCTCTCCTATTTTGCTTTTACTAAATAACAGCTGATTTTTAAATTTATCTTCTTATGACGTAAGAAATGGACGAAAGAGACGAGAGAAATGAAACAGCGAAAGAGAGAGAGAGATGAGAGAGAGATGAGATAAGAGAGAAAGAGAGACCAGTGCCAGAAAGAGAACGTTGCTAAGAGACGAAGTGAGGGAGTAGCCCTGAAAAATCGATGCATCTTTTCAGCCTAAACAGCTGCTGCTGCTGACTTGAAAGAAAATTTATAAAAGCAGTTGGCAGCGATGGCGAATACGCATTCCGCCTCATCTATAGTTCAATATCTACCTTTAACATCTTTCACTTTTCTCTTTTTTAATACGTCAGTTTCACATTTACTTATACCGTCGTTCAGAACATTGTCTCCTCTTTTCTTTCTTTTACAATCACAGTTTAATTTTTCTCCTTTCTTTTCTCTTTCTCATACCTTTTCTCTATTTCAGGTACATTGCAAGAGAAAAGGAAAGAAAAAGAAGTGGTGATAGCTACAATAGATAAACACCATTTTTCTCCTCTCTGTTTTTCGTCCTCTTTCTTCCGCCATATCTCCATATTATTTTATCACACCTCTTTTATTTACTTCTCTATTCCTATTTGCGTTCCTACTCGCTCAAACATTTTGTCGTTTTCATATGTACGGAAACCTTATCTGCAGTTTCCAGCTCCTCTTCCGTGTTTCTCTCTTTTCTTTGCCCTAAAAACTAAACCTCTTTACTGACATCTTATCCTCTTCTGTTTTTTCCATATATTTTTATCTAATTACACTTTTTCTCTTCAGATCAGCCTGCCATTTTGTCCTTTTTTTTATCGAATTTGGATGTTCAGTGGTAATTATGAAGTAAGCAATCAGACGAGTTTAATCGTTCTATCCTCACGGCTGCCCTGTTGATTTTATCCACTTCCAGACTAAGTGAATCGAGTAAATCTCTACATATTCTTACTTTGGCCATCGTTTTCGCTTTGTCTTCCTAACTTTAAACTTAAAGTTTTTCTCTTTCACCAAATTATTCTCTTTCCAAAATTTCCCAAAGCATTTTTCCATTATTTTTTATTTCTTTTCACATCGAAGGTTCACTAAACATTTTATCTTTCTCTCAAAGATAATCACTTCAACTTTCCACTAAACATTTTGACACTGCTTCCAATTTGTCACCCTTTCTTTTCTTTAACATTTTGCCTTTCCCTACAATAGATATTTCACCCTCATTACTTTCAAAGTTTTGGCTTCCCTCCAATTATGTTCCCCAACCTCAATTTTCTGTAAACATTTAGCCCTTTCCTCCAGTTCTATCCTCCTCGAATTTAATCCAACTCATTTTAAACCAGTAATTTTCTCCCACCAGTTACCTTAAACCTTTGCTATTCCCTACAATTCTTCTCTCCCCAAATTTGCAATATATTTTCCTTCTCCTTCAATTGCTTCTCTGTCGCACTTTTCGCTAAGCGTTTTGCCCATCACACCAGTTCTTTTTGTTTCATCAATTTTCCCGAAATAGTTTTCTCTTTCACGATATTTTTTCTCTTCAACTGTTTTTGTTTTGCTCTCCCCTACGAATTATTCACTCCCCGACTGTTCATTAAACTTTTTCCTTCCCCCAATTCTTTTCTTCCATACTTTTCTTTATTTTTTCCGTTCCGTACAGTTCTTCCGATCCTGACTTGGTTTACGACTCCCTCTAATTCTTCTCTCCACGAATGTTAAAAAAATTTTGCCCTTATATTCACTTCTTTTCTACACTCTTTTTCCCGTAAAAAATTTGCACGATCTTCCAATTCTCTCGGAATTTTTTCTAAAGATTTTTTCTATTCTCAAATTCTTATCTCCCCGAATTTTTCCTAGTGGTTTTGTTCATTCCCCAATTCTTCACCCTTCATTAAACATTTTAACCTTTCTCCCAAAATTTTGTCTTCTCGACTTTTTTCTTAATTGTTTGAGCCTTTCCTCCAGTTCTTAATTCCACATCTATTTTGTAAATATTTTCAATTTCCCACCAATTCTTCCCTCTTTGACTTTTTCGTAATCATTTTGTTTTCCTCCAATTATTTACTTAGAAAATTTTCATTAAACTATCAGTCCCCACCCCTAATTCTTATCTTCCTGGTTTTTCTTAATCGTTTTGCACTTCCCTCCAATTCTTGACTATCCAACTTTTTACTCGAGGCTTTACCCATAATTCCCTCTATTAGAATATTTTAATACTCTATACTTTTCTTCTCTCTAATTCACATTTTTCTTCTACTTTTTGCCTTTATTTTTCTTATTTTATTGTTTATTTTCCTTTTTGTAGTATTACCTTCTCTCTTTTTACCTATTCTCTCTCACTTTATTTCTGTTTCTATTTTTACCTATTTTCTCTCTGCCCATTTCTTTCTCTCTCTTTCTAGTGCTTCTTCATAATTTTTGCATGATTATCACTGCCCTTCCAACCTGAGATTACCCCTTCTTTTAACCTTTCATATATTTGCCTTGACTATTTATTTTATGCTTGATCTAATTCCATTTTTGACATTTTAAATTCTTTTCTCACCTTCAACTTAGTGCTGTTACTAAACAAACTGGACGAAACAAATGTCATACAAACACTCATAATATATAATAAATTCGAACAAGAAGATCACAGACAAATGAGACTTGCAAGAAAAATACCCGATTGTTGATGCTTCGTCAATAGAAATACCTTGAATAATTTGCGTATTCCAAATGTCAAGAAAACTGCAAGAATCGTTATCAAGTGTTCTCTTAGCAGTTACAATTTACAATGGAAGGTCATGAAAAAATACACAGATATACATAAACATATGGACAGGAATCAAAGAAATTTTAAGACTTATCTTTCTGGCTCCGAATTTCGAAGAACTATTATCCACGTGTTTAAAATCTTGTCCACCAGAGATAAACTAGTCGGTTCTTTTTTTTTTTACGAAATTCAATCTTTGTTACTATTATTAAACACATGAATATATAGATATACATTAATTTTTCTTTTTTGTTACGAAATACCACAAGTGGGCGGCCACCAGTGAGGACGGAACGTACAAAACTCGTCAATGGTCTCTGAAACTAGTTTCTGAAACTTCATTCAAGTGCCGTTGAGCACTAATTGATCATTGTTAAATATTTTCTTTTCTATAGGTTCTACATAATTTGACTGTACTCAACAATGCATTGGTTGTATTAGTTTTTTATTGGTTGTATTAATTAAAGGTTAAGTAAAAACAAAGAAGAATTGTGTTAGTGTTTCTTGTGCGATGGAAACTATGAGAAGCTTTTGACGATTCTTACGAGTTAAAAGAGAACCACTTCCTGTCAAAATCCATCTAATCGCGCAAATTTGCAATAGGGAAATGCTACAATTGATTCACCGCAAATAAAAAAAAAATGAAATATCTGCTTCTGACCTACAAGCGTCGACAAAATAGCAAAATCTATGCAAGAATAAAATTATATATCAATTTATTTCGATTGAAAAAATATATACATATTATAATGAAATTATTATATATTATATTATAAAAAGTATATTATATTATATATAACTTATCCGATGTTCTTTCAAAGGTGGCCTTAAAGACTTTGTTCAACTTCAAAATCTCTCAATTTCACAAGGTATGTCTTCGATATTTTAATTAACCTTAAATAGTGATGACACCTAACTTTACCATCTAAAAAGTTCTAAGGTTAGTTAAAAATAGTGTGTTCGAAATAAAGTTACTGTAGATAGCTCATATAAGACGTGCTGGAAAAACATATGAACCTAACAGACAGTCATCTACAATTCCAGACCACACGTTAATCGTAAACCGATGCTTATATCTAGCCTGTATTGTATCATACACCCACAAATGTTGGTTGTGTAAATTTGTTATTCCATCTCTTCCAAATGTTGCCTCATCTGTAAACAAGACTGAAGAGACACACAACAGATCGGCTGTTTGTGCAATAAACCATTGGCAAGAGTTCTCACGGGGTGAGTGACCAGATGTCGAAAACCCTGCACACGTTGCAAATGATAAGCATACAGGAGTTGCTCTTGAAGTACCCTCCATGGGGTACTATTAGATGTACGACATGCTAGGGACACTTGACATGTGCTGATACCTGGATCGTATCCGACAGCCTGTAGAATGTCTTGTTTGTAGTCAGGCGTACGAGCGGATCTCGGTCTTCCTCGATCTATAGTTTGTGGTGGCACGGATCCTGTCTCAGCAACACGACTCTAAACAACAGCAAAGGTTGGATGGCTTGGCTGTATGTAAAAATCCTATGCAAAAATCATATCTGCCTGCTCACGATATGAATATTCTGCCATTGTTAAACGAAACTTTTCTCAGTTAACTCACTATAACATACGTTAAACATTGAAGACAGACTAGCCACAAATGTACAGGAATGACAAGTGTAACCTAGTCTTCATGGCAACACATCACCATCTATATTAACTTTCTTTAAACTTAATAACTCAAAAATGATGGATTTGAGGACATATATTTATATAAACTTTTGTCCTTGTTTTGGTGTGAGGAACCCGACCCACAGTTTGTAAAAGTATTTCTGATGCCCCCATATATATATATATATATATATATATATATATATATATATATATATATATATATATATATATATATTTTCATAATTTTCATTTGCTGACTATTTAGTCAGAAAATGTAAGCAAAGTAAGAGATCATTATGTAGATGGGGGCGCTTTTAACAACACTCTTTTCTTCAATGTCAGCATTTTGAATCCCAAACTGTTCGTACTTGATCTTACTAAAAATAGTTTTCCTTCGTAAATTGCAAAATCAAGTGAATAATGATTTTCTTTCTTCAAAGCAAACGCATGCAGGCAGTTTTGTTGTTTGTAAAAAAAATGACAAAATTAATTGACATTTATCTTGATTTGAAGAAAGTGTTTCCAAACAGATCCAATGATTTTTCCTCACTCTCTTAAATAATCTTATTTATTAACATATAAATAATGTAATTAATTCTGCTTCTAAATCTAGATTCCGTTGCAATTTACAGAACATATTTTATTAAAAGGTTTTTGTCTGGCAAGAGGTTCACCAGAGATTCGATTTTTTAGTTTCTCGATAAACATCCTCCGGTTGCAAACATATATTTGCAAAAACGATTTTCTTTTTCATAAACATGTGCGCATTCGCACTTATATTTGTGTGTGTGCAAGGAATACATCTATATGTGTGTACATGTATGTGGATGTATTCAATGATTCTCTATTCATAGGCGGTGACCAATTGGTTATTTCCGAATCGATCTGTCGCGCTGTAAATGTTGCCATTGTGTAACTGCGAAGTGGTTAGAAGGATATAAAAAGAAGAGCAGAATTGATTCCAAGCAAGACTCAATTCGTCACATAAAATGACTTTCCACTTAACTGATTCATTTTTGGTCACTCATGGACAAAAATAACGATTATGATGAGATAGAAATGAATCTGTGATAGATTACGATATTTTTCAGTTCTGAGACTTGTTTCCACTTCTATTCACATCTGTGCTTTTCTTCACCTCTTCGATTTCTCTTAACATCTTTCTTTCTATCTTCTATTTTGTTTGCTTACTTCTTTTTTTTCTTTTTTTAAGTTTTTTCTTTCTTATTCACCCTATAACCGTTTTCTTCTCTTATTTTCTTTCCCTGTTTTTTTTCTTTTTCTTTTATCTTTTTCCTTCCTTCATTTCTTATTCCATATCTAATCTGTCATGCTTTAATTTTTAACATCGTATTTTCAGAAAATACATTGCCAAAACATTTAACAAAAGTAACTGAAACGCTCCATAAATATTTTATTCTTTTGAGGTAAAACTTGTCAGAACAAATAATGGAAGACTAGGAACAGTAGAAGCTTGCTTCTTCTGTGTGCCGTGTCCTTTCAGAACGTGTGCGATCATGGATCTTCACATTTTTCTATCCTTTGTAGCTGTTAGGAAAGTTTGTCTTTTTGCTATCTCTCCCAATCCGTTTTGTCAAACATTTACACAAGTGTAACAGGGATTAGGAGAGATGGTAAAAAGACAAACACTTTACTAATAATTACAAAGGACAGGAAATTGTGGAGAGGCATGATCACCCACGTCATCAAGGGACGCGGTACAGAGAAGAAGCAGAAGGAACTTTCTACTGTTCATAGTCATATAAACGTCGATGTAACACTTTCTATCCGTTTCTTTCAGTTTCCTTTTCCATTTCCACTTTTTTTACCCTTTATCTCTTTCACCCTTTATCGCTTTGTTCTTCTTTTCATATCTTTCTTTCAAACAATATCCTATGGATTCCTAATAAAATTATAAACCAATCTAAGAATATTCTCCCAGATAACAGCAGAATTAACGCATGGCTAAAAATGCTCCGCTCGTTAATATGATCTGCCTTCCGTGTAATCCCTACAACGAATACAACCCCACTAGACACACCCGAGAGAGCGCGCGAACGCACGCACACGCTCACGCTCACGCACGCACACACAAAACTTAAAATGTGTCTACTTATTCACGCTAAATGCGTCAGATTATAGGTACATGTGCGCAGTTGCTGCATCCGGACTCTGCTGGAAGACGCTAATGGAATACAGATGTTTACATAGTTTAGCTCAGTTAGAAGGCCAAATGGCTGTACAAGATTGTGCAGCGCCAATCATTTAAGTGGATAACTATAGCCTCATTGCTTTCAAATTAAATCTC